AAAGATTTCCTTGTGTAGGACACCAACGTGGTAAGCTTCTCTTGTTCCAATGAACAATACCCATTTCTGAAAATTCAACCACTCTCCTCAAAAGAGAAAAGCAGTATAACTATGCAGTGGCTTCCACAAGGAAACAGAAAGATGCCAGTTTGACTTGCACCTGAAAATAGACATCATACAAGGTTTGAAAATTTCAGTTTGCATCAGCCACCTCTCCAATTCCAAAGTCAGTTCTGGACATTGATAAACAAATGTACAAAATTTTGTACTTAAATGTTTACACTATTTTCTTGCAGTCCTTCGATGGAAGGTATCATACCAAGCAAAAATTTTTGTCAACTTATAATAATTGCTTACCTGGAAATGAAGAGACTTCCCATGAAGCACAGTATTAATATTTCTAGTTCCCCAAAATACAGATACAGCAAACATTTATCCCCTACACTTCTAGTCATCTCACTCACAGGAGATCTACCTAGGTCAGCAATTCTTAACCAGGGTGTATAGCAGCCTGAGGTGCCTTGAGATCCTTTCAAAGGTGCATAGGGTGCTAAGCAATGTCAGCACTATTAGTTGTGCAAAGATGGTTCACAAGAGAAACCAATGGATTTTTAAATAGAAATCAATAGCATTAAAACATTCTGATCTATTTTGGTCCAAGTTCTTTGCAGCAGAAGAATTGTTCTGTTATTTTTCTGCAGTCTTTAAACAAGTAAAAGCTAAGAGCCGGTATTTTTTTTTTTTTTTTGAGGGGTGACTTGAGTAACAAGGAGTACGCCGAGTCTAAGAAGATTGTACAAACCCCGTACATACTCAATGACATCTGTACTTTACTCAAAATGACCTGGATTTGTATTGCGAAATGAGGTCAGGTCTTCTGGACGTCACTGTTCCCATTTTTTATTTCCTTCTTTAAGTTCTATAAGGAAGCATTCTTCTCTATTAGCACAGACAGCATTGAAGATATAGACCAGGGGTAGGCAACCCCCAGCACGGTGCCAGAACATGGCAAGTGAAGGCATTTTACTCGGCATGTGTGCCTCAGGATGGACGGCAGGAAGGGGGCCGGGGCTGTGCTACCACAGCAAGAATTGGGTTTCTCATGGCTCCTCTACCATCCACCCTGGCACACCAACTTCTTAAAAGTCGAGGTTGTGGGTGTTTTTGGCACACTGCCCAAAAACATTGCCAATCCCTGATATAGGAGTTATAAACCAGCTTGGATGATGTGTTCTAGTTTATTCCCCAAACATCTAGACACAATAAAATTTAGAAGGAAGACTAGGAGGAAGGAGGAACAGAATATTCAAGAAGAGATACTTACAATATCCTGACAGATGTAACCAATTGCCTCCAACGTAGACTCTTTCATGTGCTCAGTGCTGTGTTGATTTGTAACATTTGCTACCAGCTGAGGAATGAGTTCAGGCCACTGGTTCATGGGAATCTCTGCACAGGCAATGCCAGCCACACACTGGGAGGCTGAGCTGGGCCTGTATGTTTCTGTACCCAATGTCTGCAAGACCTGTAGAAAAACGATCAGCAATTCAGTCAGGTTCTGGATCACTGGTAGCAAGAACCAAACTACTTCAGCTTCTTGTCATATAAAGAATTATTTGACCATAGGCAATTAATGTCTGTAAAGCACAAGGTCCCAATCACCAAGCCATGGCCTAGTACCAGGCTGCGGTGGGTTGGCTGCCGGATCATGGCACAAGCCCCCCTGCTTGGACCCCCGTCTGTCTGCTCAGGCAAGCGGCTTCTGGGGTTAAAGCTGAGTGGCAGGGCAGCCCCGGGAGAGAGGCAGCTGGTTCCGCATGTCCCACCCGCTCCCACTGATCCACAGTATAAAAAAGGTTGGGAACAGCTGCTGTAAAGGACTGGTATCCAGATTGCCTACTTCAGGCATAGGACCGATCATGCATGATTGCACAGATTTCAAAGCCACACTTCATAATTGTATATAGCCATCGTATGCAGAATTTAAAGTACACAAATGACTCATGGAGAAAACTGTTCACCTTGCCTGATGGATGATCAGAAATTTTAAAAAGTTATACAAGTGAGTTTAAATCCAGACACATACTTGGACATGAACAAGATAGAAATTTTAATTATTCAGCCCAATTCAAATAACTGAAATTATGAGATGGATCTGTAAGAGAGAACTGTTAAATCAGAATGCTCACAATGACAGTGAACAACACTAACCATGTCGTACAAGTTTCCCCAAGCAACCCACTGCTGTAGTGTTAGCCAGAGCCTTAAAGAATATACCTTTAGACATTAGGAAAACTATAGTAATCTTCATGGCCACTTAGGTTTTGTAGATACTAGAGGCTGTCTAGCAAAATGTGGCAGCAGTGGCTTTAAGATGCAAGATGAACAAGGGAAATCCTATTACCTTCATTTCACATCTGATCTGCTATTGGTCACACTTCCACTTGATTTCACTTCCTGATTTAGTACAGATTAGCTTTTTCTCGACCCACAGGTTCTTACACTACTACTCTTTTTTTTTTCCAAAGTTTTCTCAATAAGTTACTTTTACTGCATGACATAAGAACTTCATTTTAAATTTTTTTGACAGTTAGATAATAGTGAAAGGCAAATTAAACTGATGAATTCTCTAACATCCTATGGCATAAGTTTCATATCTGAGGACCAGTCATTTTACAGTCATATTTCTGCCAGAAGCAAAAGTTAAGTTTCCTGCCACACACAATTCATTTGTGGTCAAACAGAGCAATGGTACACCTGATTTCCAGTGAAAGAGAAACAGCTGAAAAAAAGTTAACATACAATATCTAGGTGCCCAAACTTACTTTGAAGAACATACAATGGTAAACATTGAGACATATCAGTTAAAACAAATTACTACCAAAAATGCATTTGTATCCAACAAAACTAACTCATTAAACAGACCTGCAAACATTTTCAAGTGCATGTGCTCATGAGTCAAAATGCAACTACTACAAAGGCATCTGGTGTATACAATGCACTACCTTTGGGGTGGGGGTGGGGGGTTTAAAACAAACAAAAACAAGAAAACAATAACAACACCGCCTAAAAGACACAAAGATAGAGGCTTTAAGCTTGGCAGATTGTACAATAAACTCCACTTCCATACAAAACTTAGTGTCACAGCTTTTAGTACGTGGAATTTGGATATTCCTTCTTCTTGGACTCCAAATGCTAGGCCCTGCATACACACACAGATAGTGCCCATCTCTAGACTTTCACAATTAACATAGGGCAATAAAATCTGAGGAAATGATTAAGCATGAAAAAAGACTGGTACTTGCTTTTCAAGCGATATAGCAAAGTAGGGAGAAATCTCCATCCTCTAAAGAGCCTGGGAATCACTGCTTACTACTCAGAAATTTTGGAGTGGCTATTCAGATACTTCAAGAAAGCTTTTGTACTTTAAGAGCAGGTTTCAGTTTTTGCCTCAATGCCTCACCTATAATTCCTATTTATTTACACACACATGTGCACGCACACACGTGTAAGAACTGAACTTGCCACAGAACAGAGGTGGTAGAAAGCCTAATTTAATCACAGCATGTGCAAGAGTAACAGAATAACCAGTTGTGCAAAATGGCTCACAGGATAAACCCATGCATTTTCCTGAACACACTGTACAATACTGCTTACTTAAAGGCCCAAACAGACATTCAGATATTTTGCACGTCCCAACACTATTGTTGAAAGACTACCACCAACCTGCAAGCATGAGCAGAAGATGAACCAACAAGTCCCTAACTCCATCCTCATCCATAATTTAGAAGAAGTGATGGAGACAATGTGGTATTTTTCCCTTGGAGGGAACTATTACACAGCTAGTCCCTACCTAACTTGTACCTAGCTCACAGATGCATCAAAATTTGTTTGAGAAACATGCAGGTCTCTTTAAGTCAGGGGCAGGCAGTTATTTTGGGCAGAGAGCTGCTTATCGAGTTTTGGCAAGCCATTGAGGGCCGCATGGATAGGCAGCCAGGGACAGATAAAATATTAATTTTCTTAATTTTTTAGGGACCCCACGGACTGGATAGAATGGCCTGGCAGGCTGCATCTGGCCCCCAGGCCACATTTTGCCCACTCCTGCTTTAAGCATTGTTTTGAGCAATGTAAAATATTAGTACAAGTACAATAAGGTCCACCATTTTGTGAGGATGCTTAGAACTAGTTAGGTTTTTCAGATGGTAAGAAATGGATCAAAATGCTCATTAGTCAGCCTCACAGAGAAACTGCAGTTAAATTTAAAAGCAAAAGGACAAAAAAAAAAAAAAAAACAACCTGAATTTACTGAAGATTCAGGTACACAACTTACATAGTTCTTGACTTCCCTCCGGGCATTGGCATCAATTGCAAGCCATCTCTGTTGGTATTGGGATTTGATATCTGGATCTTTAGACGTCAAAGAGTTCTTGATCTGCAAACCAGCTGCAACTCTCGCAACCTGGCTGTTTCCTGGATTTGCCAGCACTCTGGACAGTTCCACAAGGAAAGTGGGCTGGTTAGAAGATAAGACATGTTCATAAATGGAAAATGTTTCTCTAATCTGTCCTTACTCAAAGCCTGATCCATCAGGTTGTCTGAACTATCAAGGAAAACTTAACCCAACCAAACAAGAATAACACACTTTGGGCAATTTTTACAGTATACACCAACAGTAAACTGCTCCTACTGACAAACAACTGTGTATCCGTCCCAAAATTACCAACGTTAAGCTCCTAATTAGAATTGATGGAAAGCAACATAAATAGCTGTTAACTTTGTTTCAAGTAATCTTAAAAAAAATCCCAAATAAATATCCAACACTTAACATCTATGCTCCTACCCTGTTGAAAGGTCTCCTTAATTCAGCTACTTATGTCCCATTCTAAAATCTGTATCATCCAAATCTTGACCCTGAGGGAAGCACCCAAGCTGTAGTTCCACACTGAAACTTTAAAAAGCTGACATTAGTCAGTTCTTATACAATAAAAAAAATATTTCTGCAAGAATAAATTTACCTTACAATTTCCCTGATGTCCAAGTTAGTTATGTACAGACAGTTTTGTATTATCTATATAAATACCTGATTTTTTACTTTGTGGTTTTGATAATGGCTAATGAAAAACACTCATGGATTAAGACTATTTGCAATTTGGCAGCTTTGCATTTTTATAGTCTTTTGCTTTGTATGAGGTATGGAGAACAAGCTGCAGCAATGAAGCCAGGAGTGACCTAGTCTAAGACCTTGTCTACACTAGAGAAAAAAAAAAAAAAAAAGAGGCTTTAAAAAAACAAAAAAACAAACAAACCCAAAGAAGCTGGGTACACCTGCATTAATGTCAATACAATATAGCTGGACATAGGAGTTGAAGGAAGACTTGCATTGGCTGTCTGCTCTAAACCCAAATGCAACCAATTCCTAAAAATTGAACAGTTGCACTCAAATGTTAGAAACCTGTACAAATTTCCCAGTAGACAGAATGGAAAACTCTGGTAGTAGCTAGGAACCACTGTAAGCAGCAAGTAACAGAAGACCATGAATTTATATATGGCCCTGGTGAATATATCACCTGACAGAATTGTAAGGAGGCTATCAAATAGTCTGTTTAGACACCTGAAATACAGTGTTTGCAAATAAAGTTTAGGTCCATCAATATAAGCTCGATTAAGCCTTACAAAAACATCCAAAAAGCATATTGGCCTAAAACAAAAATCTCCCTCATTCACCTTTTACCATAATGAGAAAAGTAATTTTACTCATACCCAAAGAACTTTTATAATAAAGTCAGAAAGAAGGAATTTTGCCAGACTAGATTGTGGAAGCTGATGAAAAAAAAAAAAAATATGTGAAAATGGCAAGGGTCACAACCCCCACGGAGACACTGGGCTCAACTCTCAAAATTCCATTCTGAATTTGATGCGGAGGAACTCTGGGACATCCAGCTGAAAAGCAGGAGCAGCTTGTATTCACCATTACTTTATTTTCTGCCTGCTTCCTGCAACTATTTATTTAACAAGAACTACATAAGTAGCTCTGTTTTATTCTGGGTCCAAACATCAGCAGTTCTATCTGTAATTTAGATAGACTATTTCAAAATCCTTCTAGATTACATTTGGATTTGGGTCTGCAACGTACATGCTCTCACAGCCTCTATACATAACCAAGCTCTGCCAAAAGTATTGGCTAATGCTCTAGAATGTATGCAGGAAAAAATTGCAAGAACTGACTGGGACACATTTTCATCAGCTGCACCAGTAAAATTTCTCAGCTACAGTTGGGTTCCACAGTTACAGTGGAGGGCTATGATTTACTAAACAGCTAGCCATAGAACAGGAACTAAAGAGAAAGATATTAAACAAAAAAAATATTCCAATTATGCTTCAGAAGGGTTCCATGATCACTAAACATGGAGTTGCATAGAAAATATCTCAGTTTAGTCTGGAGAAGAGACAACTGAGGAGGGATTTGATAACAGTCTTCAGCTACCTGAAGGGGGGGAGGGGTCCCAAAGAGCATGGAGCTAGACTGTTCTCAAACAAGGAGCAATTGTCCCAAGTTGCAGCAAAGGAAGTTCTTCCCAATACCTCACCTAAACTGTCTCAATAGAAGGGCAGTAAAGCACTAGAACAGGCTACAACAGAGGTGGTGGAACCTCCATCCCTGGAGGTTTTTAAGACTTGAGCAGACAAAGCTTTGGCTGGCATGATCTAGTTGGGGATGGTCCTGCTTTGAGTAGGGGGCTGGACTAGATGACCTCCTGAGGTCCCTTCCAACCCTCATTTTCTATGATTTCAGAATTCTTGTCCATTGACACCGGTGAAGTGGAAAGCACATATATGTCCGCATAAAGAAAAACACCCGCATTTTGCTTCCAATCTGAAAGAGAAATAGGTGACCAACAGCAACAAGCCACACATCCCTGTACCCTTTCACTGAACTGCCATAATGACAAACAGCTTATTTGGCTGCTCACAGGAGAACCTTACACATTGCAGCCCCATCCATCCTTGATTTTAGTGCACTCATGTGCAGGGGTTGCCATGTGTTTTTACAGGTCAACACGAGACAGCCTTTTGCAGGCCCGAGGGTGTGAGCTCTGCTCCCCGCCACCCTAACTTCCTTAAGAAAACACACTTCAGACACAGACCCTCCCCCAACACAGGGTGAAGCTCTCTCTGCTTCTCCGAACTCCAAGCCAGATTAGACAAAGGGGGAAGGAGGCATAGCCCAGAAGACAGGGAATGATGATATGATGATGAAAAGCAGAAAGGGGGTATCAAAAGGGGAAGAGGATGAGAAAAAAGGACCCAGCCCCAGTGAGTGAGGAAAAAGAGAACGAGAAACAAATGGAGCAAATGAAAAGAAGAAGAGGAGCAAGTGGTGGCCAGAGGCAAAAAAAAGTCAGTCAGCAAAGAAACAGAGGAGCACCCTGCACCCAGCCTCCCAAAGCAGCATGAGGGGATGTGGGAGGGGAAGATGGGTCCCCAGCACAGGAAAGGAGCAAGACCCCAGGGGGCAGGCAGGACTTGCCCCATGGTGGCAGTGGGGGCAGGACGGGGGGTAGGGAGCCACCCCCCACCCCAGCCCGGGCTTCCCACATGTCCCGCAGGCCCCATCCTCCCCACTCCCGCCGCACACGCAGCACCGCGCAGCCTAACACCCTCCCCCTCTGGCCGGATGCGCGCTGTGATTGGCCGCCGGGGCTCCCGGGCGCGGCGCCATTGGCCGGCCGCCGCCCCGGCTGG